TTGGTCAGAGCATCAGCCAAGGCTGCTGCTGCTTTTTGTTTTTTTAAGATTTTATTTATTTATTTTTAGAGAGAGGGGAGGGAGAAAGAGAGAGAGAAACATCGATCATCAATCGGTTGCTTCTTGTACATACCCCAGCCGTGCACAGAACCCGCAGCCCAGGCATGTTCCCTGACCAGCAATTGAATAGGCCAGTCTTTTGCTTTGCAGGACGAGGCCCAACCACTGAGCCGCACTGGTCAGGGCACTGCCACTTGTTTTCTGTGTGCCTAGAGCCCCATAGAGCTCGACACTGAGGGCACCTCATCAGTGTTGGCTAAATGAACAAATTAAGGAAGGCAGGGGGACCAGCTGTCAGTCTCTGGCAGGAAGAGCTGCCTGATTGTCTTTATCTTCCTTGTCTGTTCACAGAGAGTTCATCTGGACATTCAGGTGGGTGAACACGCCAATGACTATGCAGAAATTGCTGCCAAAGACAAGTTGAGTGAGTTGCAGCTCAGAGTGCGACAGCTAGTGGAACAAGTGGAGCAGATCCAGAAGGAGCAGAACTACCAGCGGGTGAGTGGTTAGACCAGGGCCAGGGGTCTTCTCAGAAGCTGCCCACTAGCTCAGCCAGGAGTTCCACGTCAGAGTCATTATGAAACCCAAGAAACGTGCCTATTTTGTGCTACTTTGCAAGTCTAAAAGGTGGGATCGGTATTACTAACTCTGTGATTGAGGAGACAGTCTTTTAAGAGGCTGTTGCTGCCCTGAGTCCCACAGTTGCACAAAGCTACAGAGTAGGAATTGGTACCAACACCTTGGGTGCTATTCCCATGGCTCTAGGTGCTTCCAGGACCAGGGGTTGCCAGACTCACCTGTGTCTGGGAGTCAGGCAGCCTCTGTGAATGCATCTGTGACCGTAAGGATTGGTAGGACAGTGGCCCACCTAAACAGGAACAGCTGCTATTGTTGGCTGAGGACAGCCTTGCAGAGATGCTAGCCAGCCCTGGCTTTTAAGGGGAGCCAGAGGTCCTGGTTTATTATGTAAAAATTTCCTGGGGTTTAAATGTTGGCAAATATCACCTGAGTCAAACAAATCACATATATGGGCCAGGTCTAGCCCCTGGGCCACCCATTTGCAACCCATGCCCACAGTCTTCAAGGAGCAGTTTGGGAGACCTGGGCAGAGTGCTCAGCAAGTCCACTCCTGAGCGCCTCAGATCAGCTCTGTCTGGTGGCAATACCACCAATACTACTTTACCTCTCTTCCAAGAGCCCGGTTAGGACCGGGTGAGGGCTGTACACGACAGATGAGCAAACAGACTTCAGTTGCCTGAGGCCATCTGGCTGGTGAGGGTAAAGACAGCCTCCCATGGAGTGGCTCTTTGCAGGCACTTGTCTGGGACCCATGCTAGGCTAGTTGGCCCTGGGGAATTTTCCAGGGAGGGAACCCAGCAGTTCTAATGGCCCCAAGTGGGGCCCAGCCAACTCAGGCTCTTCTTCCATTCTTTTCTCCCATAGTGGCGAGAGGAGCGATTCCGGCAGACCAGTGAGAGCACCAACCAGCGAGTGCTGTGGTGGTCCATTCTGCAGACCCTCATCCTTGTAGCCATTGGTGTCTGGCAGATGCGACATCTCAAGAGCTTCTTTGAAGCCAAGAAGCTGGTGTAGCCATCCTTCCTCCCAGGCTGGGAGAGAAGGGGCCTCCTAGAACTGATTTCTCTCCTGCAGGAGGACTGCTTCCCAGCCATGGATGTTCTGGAGAGGATGGGGGTCACAGGCGCCCCAGGCACAAGCTGAAGGGAGCAGCTTGGCTGGCTAATCCTGAGCAGGTGGTGGGGCAAATGCCTGCCCCCTCCCTGGGCTCTTGGCCTTTTGCAGTAATCTCCTTGGGGCTGTTGAAGCCACTGGGGGCCCCACTGGCACTTCAGAATCAGTGTTACTGATCAGGGATGTGAGGCTGCTGTCTGGGGTGGCTGGGGGGAGGGGAGTGGGTGGGCAAGCTAATTTTCTCTTTGTCTTCCTTTGCTAACCTGGGATTTTGAGCAGTTTGGAGTGTAGCTGTGATTCCCAGCCACCCTGACAACCTCCTTGGGCCTAAACCCAGCCTGCCAATCTGGGGTGTATGTCAGTTGAGGGTGGGATGGAGGGGGTTGCAATGTGGAAGGGTGGTCCTGAGGTTGAGTCCAGTTTCTTCACCCGGTTATCCTTGGGGCTTGAGGAACTGGGGTCAGGGCAATAGAGGTCTTGGTGCTGGCTAAGGGCGGGGCCTGCAGTCTTAGTTACTGATTTCATTTTCAATAAGCCTAGGTTTGTTACATTGGTTTCCCAATAAAAAAAAAATAGACTTCTTGTCCAGTGTAACGTTACTGTGCTATCAGTGGTCATAACACTTCAGGGTGCTTTAGGAATGTCAGTTCTTCCAAAGGACAAGCACTTCGCATTCTAAGATAAATAACCCACCTGTGAACTTCATCCTCTCAACACCTTCCCGTGGCTGGGGGAGGTGGTTTTGCCCAAGGCCATCCGACAAGTACATTGGGTCTGTGCTCAAGTCCACACCATTTCCTTTATGTCAGTGTGCTCATGAAGTGCTCTTCCTGCCTTTCCATTGTAGCTGGGCTCAGTATAGAATTGTCCTGGTGCAGCAAGAAGTTCCTAGTTAGAAGAGAGTGCTTTGAACAGGAATGCTGCAGGTGTGGGAGGGACAGAAACCCCTGGGCTGGTAGGGCTAGGAATATTGAGGAGGTTAGCCAGTAGGGTGGAATTTTAGCAAGGGTCTTGAGGGAGAGGAAGGGTTCTGATGACAGGTGGCTGGGGAAGTTGAGACAGACTGCTTGTGTGGAGATGGATGGGCATTGTCTCAGCTGGCACTGGGGGAAGGGGCTGTGAGCCTCTGGAAAGGAAGGCTGTTTAGAATGAGAACAGCCCCAGTAACAGATTTGTGGACATTACCCACTTTCAACAAAGCGTTGTGTGGAGGGTTTCGCTGAATGTAATTTGAGGAAGGTGGGTCAGCAGTGTTTGAGAAACAGGGTGGGGAGACATTTTGGGGGCTGTTTGACCTGGGAGGGTGTCATCTGAGCTTCTGTTACCACTGACCTATATACCTCCACATTAAGAAAAATAAACTTAGAATTACAAAAAGTTCTTAAAATAGTTTCCCTTATTCCTATCATGTGTCAGTATGGTACATTTGTTAGAAATCAGTGACTCTAGCATTACATTATTTTTAATTGAAGTCCATTAGTTGTTACCTAGTGGCCTTTTTCTGTTTCTGGATCCCATCTATGACACCACATTAGATTTGGTTGTCTCTTTGGACTTCTCTTGGCTGTGAGTTTCTCTGGCTGTCCTTTTAAAAAAAAATTACCTTGACAGGTTTCAGGAGGAGTGGTCAGGTGTTTTGTAGAATTTCCCTCGGTTGGGATTTATCTGCTGTTTTTTCCATGATTGGACCAGGGATCTGGGTTTTGAAAGGAAGAGCACAGAAGTGAAGTGCCAATTTCATCCCATCACATCAAGGGTACTTCCAGTCAACTGTTGATGTCACAGTTTAAAATGAGTTAATTTGGGGTTTTATGTGAAACCAGTTTTCTTCAGGTCAATCAGATCTGACACTGGCAGGACTTCATTTTGATGCAACAATTAGCCAGATACCCTTTAGAAGGGCTTGTGTTCTTTAGGTCACAGTGCCACCTCCTTGCTCCCATCATTGGCCTTACCTGGCTGGTCTCTGCAGGGTGTCAACCTCCCTGTCATCTTTAGGCAAATCTAAGCTGGATTTGCCAAGGTTTGAGTACAGGGTGCAGTGCCCTGGGAGAGTTCAGCAGCATGGGGACCAGTGGGGTTGTGTGCTGCAGGGCTGAAGGGAGTAGGGGGGTTACTGGGAATGATTAACTTTCCATCCACAGTGAAGTTCTCTTGGGAGCAGAGTGGTTGAGACCACAGACTGCAACCAAGCTACATGGGCTTATGTGATGAATTGTCTCTGCCTCGGTTGCCCCATCTTTAAAGTTGGCATTTGGGGTGATGAACACACAGTACAGTGTGCAGATGTGGAACTGTACACCTGAAACCTGTGTAATTTTGTTAACCAGTGTCACCCCAATAAATCAGTGACAAAGAAATGTAAAAGGAAAAAACTCGGCATGATAAGCATAACACTCAAGGACTGAATGATGTAACAGCAGGAAAGAATTGAGAACAATGACTTGCACGTGGTAAGAACTCAATGGACGTTAGCTCTTTATTGGGAAACTTACAATCGGCCTTGCAGAGCAGAGAGCAAGGCTAATAACCGCCACTTTCTCTTCCCAGGTGGGAGGCTGGCCCAGCTGCTCGGTTCCCACCACTCAGTCTCCTTACAGGTTTCCCTTCCTCAGTTCTCCCTCTCCACCGGAGTACCCCTTTCCTGAAGACAGCGGTCATTTACATAGCTTTGACTGTTGTGCCCGTCGCTGTGCTGAGGGCATTTTTCCTTTAATCCTCACGGCAACCATGTAGACCCATATACGAAGAACAATGTACATACTCAGGTGAGGGAACAGATGCAGATTGTGTCTTGCCCTAAAATACAACTGAATTGGCAGAGGCAGGTTTCGATTCCAGTCAATCTGTCTTTCGTGCCTGGCTCCTAACTCCATGGCTATCAGTTGAACCCAAGCCCAAGCCCTGAGCTTGGCTTCAAACTCATTGCTGAGAAAGAATGCACCTGAGTTGATAGCAGGGCTGCCCAGAGGCTCCCGGCCTTCCCTCGGGAAGAGGAGGAAGACGCAGATTATCCCAGGGCACTGGTCTGGAAGTCTGGAGTCTAAGTCCAGTCCCCAGCCCAGTGACTTGAGCCCTCTCAGGGGCCTAGATTCTCCGGACGTTAAGAGGGAGGGCAGTTAGCAGTCAGGCGGCAGGGGTGCTGCTCATTTGTTCCTCGACACGCGGAACCTTTGACGCCGCAGCTCCGGGGAGCAGGCGGCGCGGCCGGAGCGGAGGACCGGCAGGACCGAGGGGCGGGGCGGACGGGGAGGGGCGGTGGGGGGAGGCGGAGGCGCCGCGTAAGCCGGCGAGGCCGGGCCCGCCCGGCTGGGAGCTCGAGCCCCATGCACCGCCGCCTCCCCCCACGATGTTCCCCTCCCGGAGGAAAGCGGCGCAGCTACCCTGGGAGGACGGCAGGTGAGCGGTGGCCGGCCGGCCCGTGCCCCGTCCTCCCGGGTACCTATCTTTTCGGGCCGCGAGACGGAATCTAGGAGCAGGCTGTCGCGTCTGGTTCCTGCGGGGCTCTCTGAGGGTCTGTGGTTCTCCTTGTGGGTCACTGGCTCTCTGTGTATTTGGGTGTTTGTCTCTTGTGCGTGTCTGTCTCTCTCACCAGTCTACGTCACTCTGCAGATCTCCGTCCCCCGCGGGTCTGTATTTTTGCGTTGACTTCCCTTTTTGAGTTTCTGTCTCTCTTTGCAGGTCGCTCTCTCTCATTGTGAGTTTCTCTGTTCTCCACTGACCTTACTTATCTCGGTGGTCTCTGACTCCGACGACCTCTCAGTGGATCTCTGTCTTTCTGTCTGTCCATGGTCAGAGGGTCTGTATTCCGTTTCTCTAGTCTCTGCCTCCCCATCACATCCACGTAGCCTCGGGCCCTTTTTCCTCCCCCCTTCATGCTTCCCCTTCCTTTGCTGCCCGCTCAGAAGAACACAGCAGACAGCTCTATCTGCTATGCCTGGCTGGCCACTGCCTGGCATGTAGTAGGCACCCCTCGCACAACACGAGTTCATTTCCTGTGCAGCTGTACTTGAAATGGGCCTGCTCCATGTGTTAGGTATGGGCTTGGCCCAGATCCCAGCTAATAATGTTTCCCACTAACGCAGAACTGGGGAGAGGAGCTTTTCACTTGTCTGCATTTGGGACGACACTTCATTCAGCCTTGAGCTGTGCCCTCGAAACTCTTCTCACCTAGAATACATGGTGGGCCTCTCTACACAGCGAGTGGCACCTCCTTCCCTTTTTGGTCTCTAAGTTTGCCATGTGCCAAAAGATTCTGGAAGATAGTGAGCACAACTCCACCTTTGAGGATTTTTCAGATTTGGCGAAGTAAGAAGACAGGACCATAACAGAAAGAAATCCTGAACTGTGGAGTCAGCCCTGGGCAGGAATCGTCTTTAATAGCCATGTGATCAGAAGCAGATCATTTAATCTTTCTGACCTCAGTTTTTCCATCTCTGAAACCAGGATCGTAAGAAATGCTTTGGAGGGTTGTGTGAGGATTAAAGGAGACAATACATGTAAAATCCTTGACACTGTTCCTGGCATAGAAGAGGTGTCTTCCAGTTCCCTTTTTCATTTGTAGGTGCCATAAGCAGAGCATTTGAGTATTCAAACCTTGTATCACTAAGATTTGGGTGAGAGAAGAGAGGAAAGGTAATGGAGAAAAATTTCCATCTTCTGATCACTTTCCATAAAGCTTTGGAACGTAACTGTGTTCTCAGAAAAAGTTGCTGATAAGTATTCTTGCTTTTGACCCAAGGGTACAAAGATCCATGCAACAGATGCAGGCTAAGGTAGCACTTAAGAGTGCTGCCTCTGGAGCCAGCCTGCTGGTTCTGAATCCTCCCTCTCCTAGCCTTGGGCCCAGGTTGAGGAAGGTGACAAAACCGCATCTGGTCTGCCCTCAGAGCAGGCAACCTGAGCCTGGGAGCAGCTGGACTGCAGAACTGGAGTTTGCCACCACGTGGCATCAGGAGCAACTGTTCTCTGTGTTGCCCTGGTCCTGAGGAAATGGAGATTCCTCTCTGAATTGAGTTGTTCAGCAGTTTGGGGCTTTAACAGCTCAGGATGAGAGGGCCCATGGGGATGTGATCCTGGCAGGGTGGGAAAGTTAGACCCGGGGACAGCATGTGAAAGTGCATGGAATGCCCAATTCATGCCCAGCCCCCGGGTAACGGTCACTGCTTCTTCCCCGAGGGTGGGCTAGTTCCCCATGTTCATCTCCCCGGTCTCCACCCCACCCCCAGAAAGAGCTCAGAGGGAGGATTTGTAGAGGCTCCAGCCCTCTCAGGCCACTGGCAGGATTGGGTTCTGCTCCTCCCCAGCGGAAACCCCCACCACAGGACAACGGGGGGTAAGTCAGAAGCCCCCTGCGAAGGGGTCCTACCCAGCCCTCTGTCTGCTGTGTGTGGGACCCACGCCTGGCTTCAGGACTGCTGGCTTCTAGGCTGGCAGTAGTGCCGCTCGAGAGAGGCCGGTGTTGGTGTGGCTCTCGTGTGTCCCCGAAAGCATGCCTGACTGCTTGAACCCTTCCTGTAACTCACTTAGCATGTCCTCTGCCGTGTGACCTGTGCTAGGGCCATGGGCTTGTTACCAGTCTGATCACCTGTGGCAGAGACAAGCAGGGACTCGGGTGATCACAAAACTCTTAAGTGCTCCAAAGGGCGAGGTAACCAGACACCAAGGGGACATGTATCTCAGGCTGTGTACATGGGGAGGTAGGCAGTGCGGGCTGTGACATTGGAGTTTGGCCCTGGAGGGTCAGCGAGGGGCTTTCGGGCAGATGAAACAGGAGGAGCGCTCCAGGCAGAAGTGGCAGGCTGTGCAAGGGCTGGCTGGAGCAGGAAGGAAGGCGGTGAGTGGAGAAGCTCAGCAAGGCCCACGGTGAGCGCTGGGTGAGCGCTGGGTGAGCGGTAGGAGGCAGCTGGCAACGGGGCCAGCTCACAGAGGGCTTTGATGGTCAGACCAAGGAATTTGATCTTTGTCTTGTAAACAGAAAAAGGACATCTACGAGATTGAAGGGGTCTGAGCTGGGTCAGGATCGAGGAGACCAAGACTAAAAGAGGCAGTGTGTGGGGAGGGGTCAGGGGCACTTAGGAGGGAGAGTCTCTAAGCCTGGAAGCTGCATGTTGATTCCAGAGGTTATACAGCAGGTCTGTTTGCCAATTATTTCATGGGGAGTCGAGCAGAGGAAGCCTCCCTTTTCTTGGATTCCTGGGCTCCTCCGCTGTCCTCAGGAACTTCCAGAGAGAGGGGCAAGAGAACCAGGTGAATCCTGCGTGTTTCTTTGTTCTTTCCAGCCTGAAGGGCAGGCTCTCTCAGTGCTGCCGCAGTGTCCGATGTCCCCAGCTGTCCTCCCAGTTTCTGAAATGAGCCTGGGTGCTGGCTCCAGCCCCAGTCTTGCTTTCCTTCATCCATCTTTCATCTCTTGTCGCGTTGGTTGCCTGTTGGACTGAAGCTTTGAGACTCATTTGGGGAACTGCCACTGGCACTGGGGCCTTGCATTGGTTTGGAGCAGACCCCCTCTTCCCAAAGTGAACAGTGGGGATTTCCACTGGGGTCTGGGGGAGCTTGCTGGTGTGAGAAGCAGGGTGCAGCCAGTGTTCCAGCTGGCAGCAAACCTCCAGGGTGTGGAGGGTGAGGTCTCTGAGTTGGGGCTCTGGCTGACAGCTCAGGACAGGAGCCTCTGCCCCAGGGAGGGGCACGTGCAAGAGATAGGGTGCCTTGTCCCTGCCACTCTGGTGGTCTGACCGGGGCTCACTCACAGGAACTAAGAAAGCATCAGGGAGCTGGGCAGCCAGGAGTGGCCGGTGGGCTTCCCAGGCAGGGTGGGGGTGGGGGACGGGCGTGGGCTGGCCCTAGAGCAGCAAGCAGGGTCCCGACGCATAGTAGCAGCACGAGCAAAAGCACTGAAGTGGCTTCTACACTAATTCTAGGTGCTTGGGGCAGACCAGGCACGTGTGCCCTGCTGGTGGGGGAGCCAGAGGGGGGATCATCACGGGCCCTGCCTCAGCCCTGCCCTTCTGACCCTCTCCGCTCTTGTCCCAGGTCCAGGCTGCTCCCCAGCAGCCTCCCCCGGAAATGCTCCATCTTCCACCTCTTCGTCGCCTGTCTCTTACTGGGCTTCCTCTCCCTGCTCTGGCTGCAGTTCAGCTGCTCTGGTGACACGGCCTGGGCAGCCAGGGGACGAGGGCAGGAGACCTCGGGTCCACCCCGGGCCTGCCCTCCAGAGCCCCCACCCGAGCACTGGGAAGAAGACCCGTCATGGGGGCCCCACCGCCTGGCAGTGCTGGTGCCCTTCCGAGAGCGCTTTGAGGAGCTCCTGGTCTTTGTGCCCCACCTGCACCGCTTCCTGAGCCGGAAGAAGATTCCGCACCACATCTACGTGCTCAATCAGGTGGACCATTTCAGGTAGGGACCACCTGACCCAGCTGCCCCTCTCTGCAGGCCTGTGGAGGGCCGCTCGGGTCAGTGGCAGCAGGGTGGGAGGTGGGACGCCCTGCACTTGGCGTGGTGGAAATCTTTGGGGAGAGTTAGGGGCTGGGGAGGGCCTTGATCTGATTTCCATTTAAAAATGTGCTGCAGCGTGTGGAGTACATTGTACCAGGACAAGAGGAGCAGCAGGGCGGACTGTGGGTGGTCGGTAGTGTCTGAGTTGGTGGGGACCTGGCCAGCATGGAAGAAGGGTGGAGGAGGCACAGACAGGGCTTGCCCGTGGATTGGCTGTCAGGACTGGGCAGAGGGAGGGTCAAGGCTACAGCTTTCATGTTGTTCGCAGTCTGGCTTTATTCTGAAACCCTTGCCCTCACCAAAACCTGCCTTCCTGCACAATCGCAGTCGAAGCGTCTCGCACACCACCCCACCTTTCCCTCTAGTTTGCTCCCTCCGGAGACGCCAACAGTTCTTGGACTCCATCAGGCCCTTTAGTTCAGGATGCTCCCAAATGCCACTGCCTATCTTCCTTGTCCTCACTTTCTCCTGATGTCACCTGGACCCCATGGTCCATCGTTGAAATCACTGCCCTGCATACACTTCAGCTCCCTTGCCCGTTTCTGCCTGGTGCATCTTCTGCTTGAGGAAACCTGACTGTTTGACTCGCTGCTGCTCCTGGGCAGCCGGATGTGACGCTGATCCCTGGCACAAGGAGTTCCTCTGCCCTGCCTGGAAACCTGGAATTCCTCCAGTCTGCTGCCTTTCCCATCTCCTCACCCATCCTGCCCCCAGCTTGCTTCCTATTTGAGAAACAACCAAGTGGAGGAGAACTTGCCCGAGCCCTCCCGTGGCCCTGCATCCTGGTGGCTCTGCTTCGCTGCAGGTGCCTGTTGGGGCGCATCCCTGGCACCAGCCCCCTTTCCTGCCTCCCACCCCAGACCATCGCTCCTCCCCACCTGGAGCGACTACATTGGCATACAAAGTGCCACAGTGCCCACCGCCTTCACCTCCTCTCACTTCTGGGCTCCCCTTTGTTACAGATCTTCCGTTTCCCCCTCACGGTCCCTTGCCTGGTCCCACTCAGAGGTCCGCCCACACCGTAGTGGCTCTCCCAGGGGGGTTTCTTCTTCCTGCCTCGAATCCCAGGCCCCAGGGGCAGCACTCGCTGCATCTCCTCCTTTCTTACTGGCTGTCCTCTGCACCTTCTTTCAGGCTCTGCCTCATCTCCCTGATCTTGCAGTTGCAGTGCTCCCAAGTGTCCCCTTGCAGAGTCCAGTCACTCCCTGGGGGAGGCCATCCGGGCTCAGGGCCTGAAGTCCCATCTCACCCCTGGTGACTCCCCAGGAGGTGTGCCCAGCCCAGACCTCCCCCTGAGCTCCACTCCATAACATCCGGCCACCTGCACTGCCCTCCCTTTGCTGGTCTCAGGGGCATCTCGAGATTAACTTGATTGAAGTCGAATTCCTGATTTCCCACCTGCCCCGGCCGTGCTTCCCCTGCTTCCCCACCCATCAGGAAACGGCTAGTACATGCTTCCAGTCGTCAGGGCCAGAAAGCCTTGGAGTCCCCTCCACTCCTCCTTCCGCCTCACATAAGGCATGCGGTCTGTCGGCGGAGTCCACCCAGACCCTGCCTGCTCCTCACCGTCCGTTCTGCCACCTACCTGAGCTAAGCACCATCTTCTGTTGCCTCATCATTGCTAGCCTCTCAGCTCACTTCCCCGCTCCCCTCGGCCCTCCAGTCTCTCCTCCCTGCCCTGGCTAGGGTGCCCTCTTGCCCTGAGTCACATGGCTGCCCTGCGTCCTCCAGTGGCTCCCCGTCTCGTCCAGGGCCGAAGCCCAGGCCTGGCAGGGGCCCATCACCTGCGGGCCTCATCCTCTGTGCTCCCCGCACTCACTCTGTCTGGCCACATGGGTGTGTCTGCCCTGCCTCAGGCCTTAGCAGGCACATCTCTGCCCAGAGCCCCCTTCCTCTGATTTGCACAGGGCTCATCCCTCCGGCCTTCCCTGGGCCTTCCCTGACCACTCGTCTCGGAGAACAGCAGCTTGCCCCAAGTGTGCTTTGCCTTTCTGATTTCCTTTTCTCCACAGCACTTACCACTGTCTGGCTTGTTAAGTATTTACTTCCTTCTTTTCATCTCCTATTATTAGAATATCGGCAGGGCTTCAATTTCTTACTGCTATATCTCCTGTGCTCTGAACAGCTTCTGGCACATAGTAGATGCTCAGTAAACATTTGGGCGATGAGTGGAGGGGCAGGCGTGCAGGTGGGTAGCTCTGCAGTGAAGTCCGTCTTGGCCTGGAGTGTGGCATCGGCCCCTGTGTGGGTGCTGTAAGGGACAGGATCCTGCAGCATCTGGGGAGCCTGTTCTCTGCCCGCACCCCACCCAGCCTCGGCCACCCCGCACAGGTTCAATCGGGCGGCGCTCATCAACGTGGGCTTCCTGGAGAGCAGCAACAGCACGGACTACATCGCCATGCACGACGTGGACCTGCTCCCTCTCAATGAGGAGCTGGACTACGGCTTCCCGGAGGCGGGGCCCTTCCACGTGGCCTCCCCGGAGCTGCACCCCCTCTACCACTACAAGACCTACGTCGGTGGCATCCTGCTGCTTTCCAAGCAGCACTACCAGCTGGTGAGGCCCGGCCGGCCTGTGCTGCTGAGCCAGGGAGCGCCTGCCTGCGGGGGCGGGGAGCACTGGTAGGAGGAGCAGCAGTTCTGGGGTCCTGCAGGGAACCCAGGAACAGCTGGAGACAGGGGAGAGGAGCAGGTGGGTTAGGGAGGGTTCAGCCGTAGTGACAGAAAGCCCGTGAAAACTGGGCTTCGGAAAAGTGGGGGTTCATTGGGTTTCAACCTGGAAGAGCCTAGGTGGGGCTGAGAGGAGGGTGTGGCTTCCTGCGCCCAGCCTCTCGGGCACTGTCCCCAGGGTACCCCATCTCTTCCCATCTCTCATTTCTGCCTTTTTTAGGCTTTCTTTCCAGACACTCGGGGTGAAGGGTGGTGGTTGTAGCTGAAGCATCCGTCCTGGCTTGAGCCCGCTGAGAGAGGGGCCTGCCCCCAGCAGCCAGACAGGGGTCCCCAAGCTGTGCAGCACTGGCTCTCGATTGGCCTGCCTTGCGTCTGGCCGTCCCTGTGTCTGTCCCCGTGGCGGGGTGGGTGGGGAGAACTGAATAGCTTAGACCTTGGTCTCCTATTCCCCACAAGGGGAACACCAGTTTTATTTAAATGAAGCCCCTCGTCTGGTGGCAAAAACTGGTGTCCACCACAGAGTCCAGCTGGCCCTCGCCCACACAGAGGAGGAGACCAGGGCAGAGCTGCCCTGGGAGAAGTGGGAATTGGCACTCTGCCCATCACCAGCTACCCAGAGAGGTCCCCTTCTGTCAGCCAGACATTTTGGGGAAATGAGTCATTTCACACAAGTTCAAGGCCGAGTTAGAGCGGGCAGCGGGCCGGGGTGGGCGGGCTGTCCCACCGTGCTGCAGAGGCGGTGGGAACTGTGAACATCCAGTGCCCACACCTCGGGGGAGGAGGCCGGGGCTGGTCCTCCTGAGGGGTGAGAGGCTGGAGAGCGCCCTGGCGGACGGGGGGCGGGGGGTTGACGCTGCCCCTCTCTGCCAGTGCAACGGGATGTCCAACCGCTTCTGGGGCTGGGGCCGCGAGGACGACGAGTTCTACCGGCGCATCACAGGAGCCGGGCTGCAGGTAACACGTCCCGCCCCCCGCTCTCGGCCGCTGTGGCCGCCCGAGGCTCCTTCTCTGCCCTAAGCCAAGTCCCTGGGGCTCGGAGATGGCATCCCTGGTGCTTCCCCCAGCCCTGCCCCAGCCGGCACACCTTTTCTGCACCATGGGGACACAGGCCCCTGCCTGTGGCCTGTGGCCTGTAGCCTGTAGCAGGCAGTGGGGCCCAGAGGACCAGGGGTGAGGGCCAGGGCTCCAGGAGAGGTGGCCTGACCCAGCTTCCTATGGCCTCCTTTGGCCTCCTTAGTTGTTCCGCCCCTCAGGGATCACAACTGGATACAAGACGTTTCGCCACCTGCACGACCCAGCCTGGCGGAAGAGGGACCAGAAGCGCATTGCCGCTCAAAAGCAGGTGCTGGCTGACTGGTCTCCTGAGCGGGACGGGCGGGTGGAGACATGGGGAGCCAACGGGCCGGCAGTTCACCAAGTTCCGCTTGGACCCCAGTGGCCCTGTCCACCCCATTTGGCCCAGCTCAGTTGATGGCATTTTGCTCAGGCACCTGCCCTGCTTGGTGGCTGCCACAGGCACCTGGGCACTGGGTCCATCGACCCCAGTACAGGCTGGGTCGGGGGGCTCCGCTGAAGGTGGTGGAGTCCCAGGCAGCCCCACAGCCCCGTCCCTCAGCCTCTTGTCTAGGGGCCGCATTGGTCAACCAAATACCCCTGCTGTCCTGCTCGCGGGGCACACAGCTGTGGGTCAGAGCCCCCAGGGCCGTGAGCTTTACTGCCCTCTGCAGTGGGGTCGCAGGACCTCTGAAGACAGGGTCACGGGTACAGCAGTAGACGGTGGGCAGCCACAAAGCCCTGAGTCCACGCACCACCTCCCCCTTTGCTTCCCAGGAGCAGTTCAAGGTGGACCGAGAGGGAGGCCTGAGCACTGTAAAGTACCGCGTGGACGCCCGCACAGCCCTGTCTGTGGGCGGGGCCCCGTGCACCGTTCTCAACATCATGCTGGACTGTGACAAGGCTGCTACCCCCTGGTGCACATTTGGCTGAGGTGGCTGGACAGTAAGAAGGCCTGTACCTACAGGCCACACTGCTACTCAGGCCCTGGACAAAGCCTCAGTCCCCGAGCCCATCTCTAATAAGACATGGAGTGGCCTGAAGCAGTGGACAGCAAGCCACGTGTCTTCAGCCACAGCAGGACACATGGGCTGCCTGGGGCACCAGCGCTAGCAATAGACTGATGCAGAGAGGCTGGGGTGTGGCTCCCAGCCGGCACTGCACACCCGCCTCTGTGTGCTGAGGCCCGAGGGCTCTGGGTCCTCCCCTGGCCCGCCTCACGCAGAGGTCGGGTGCAGCGATGGGGTGCAGAGGCGAGGCCACTGAGCGAGTGGCTGGGGCCACTGGGAGGGGTGGAGTGCAGGCCCCAGAGTGCAGGCCCCCTGGAGAGGGACGCTGGACCACTCTGGCTGCTTGTCACCGTGTAGAAACGTGGGCCTGATGTTGCCAGATCTTCTGATGTTTCAAAAGAAACTGGAATTCTGGATTCTTCAGTGAAAGCAGTGGATTATTAAATGATAGCAACTAATTAAAATTCTAAAAAAGTATGGCAGTCCAAACAAAATGTATTGTGGGCCACCAGTTTGTCACCTGTGGCGGAGGGGGAAGGAATGGGACAGAAGCTGACATCACTCTTGGTTGTAAGATGGCAAGGAGCTGGGTCAGGGCGGGGTCAGGGTGGGAGGCGGGGGGGGCGGGGAGGCTCAGGTGGCAGAGAAGCGGAGGCACAGGCTCCTGCTCCCTCCCATGGCCTAGACTTTGCCGCCCTGGGGGCAGTCTGACTGCGGGAGGGGCTTGGTCCGGCCTTGCTGAGAGGCTCAGGAACAGAGCCCCTGGACCAGGCTTGGCAGGCAGGAAGAAGTGTTGGCCATGACTCTGTCATGCCTTGAGGGAATGAAGACACGGTTCTGATGCAGGAGGAAGATGAGGAAGAGGAGAGTCCCTGGGGTGCTCCCAGAGCACAGGGGAGGTCAGCCTCCGTCACGTGATGGCGCTAGAGAGGTGAAGGGGACCCCGGGGGACAAACTGGGGAGTGATCCTGGAGGGAAGCTGGGGGCCCCGCCAAGCGGATCACTTCTTTAAGGCATCTGCCTGCCCAAGACCTGGGGCGGAAGTCAGGGGAGACGGGGGCCAGTTCAGACTGCCCCGACACTGCACAGGACGCTGGGCGTGCTGGAGGAAGCGGTTGAGGTCCTGGGTCTAGTTCAGGAGGGCGAGTCCCTAGCTCTGCTCCAGACCCCTCTGACGCAGACACAGGCCTGCAGTGTCCTCAGTGTCATGGATGAGACATGAGATAAATTCACACGGACTACCGAGTCCTGTGGAGGAAAAGGGACGGCATGGCTACTCTCAAGGGGAGGGGCCTTGGAGTGGCCTGACCACTCTCTCAAAGAAGAGCACCCCGATCTTTCCCTTCACCAGGTTTTTATTGGCTTTTAAATTGCACAGGAATACAGGTAAAGTTCATTAATCATTGTCAGGCAATAAGGATCCAACGAATAGATAATGTTCAAAGAGCTAAGAGGGCTCACACTGAGGGTCTATCACCTAAAAAGTTGCAAAACTTCAGGGACTAAACTCATTTCCTGCCCAGGCCTTTATAATCTAATTGAGAGCATCCTCAGCAAAGCAGGTTTCACAGAATTTTACATGTCCTTTCTCAAGCCTAATCACCCCGGGAAGTCAGCAGTTCCCAGCACAGGGTTGCACTGCCCCTTTGAGGTCACTCTGTCTATCTGACCCTGACTCAGAATAAGCCCTCATAGTTCTTTGAATGTTGTCTATTATTTGATCATTGCTGGCTGACAATGACTGATGCCTTCACATATGTGCCCTGTATTTACAGCATGTAAACTAAACCCAATAAAATCCCATTGAGAAACAGGCTCAAGGCCTCTCTCCTCTGAGAGACTGGTCAGCCTTTTCTTCCCAAGAAGATCACATCTTGCTAGACTTATTCTCATCCAGGATGGCCAGGGCAGGCTCTGCCAGACAAAGCTTCCCCACAGGAAGCTAGGAAAACTCCTGGGTGAGCAGTATAGGAAAACAGAGACACAGCTGCACACAGTGGCCCAGTAATTTACAGCCAGGTGCAGACAGACACCTGAGCAGAAGGCCCCCAGTGTCTGGCAGGGAGCAAAGCTGGGAAAACAGCGACCCCCGCCCCAGGGGAACCTCCCCTCCCTGGCCTTTCCTCCCCTGAGAGAACATCTAGGCCTCAGCTGTGTTTCAGCTCCAGGCCCAGAAAATTAACAACACCAGGACCAGCTGCAATGACTGAAGACCCCCTGCCCTGCCACCAACCAATCAGAGGAGACCAGGAACCTGACAAGGTGCACCTGGAGAACTGATGACTATTCTACTGAACCCTCCCCTGAGACCTCGCCTAAGATTCCCACTTGCCTGCAAGAAAGAGGTAAAAGCCTCAAGACAAAGCACCAGTGTGTGCTCTCCATCTGGGGAGCAGCCCCTACCCTTCCCTCTCCCTTCTTCTCCCCCCACTTCTTTCTTCACAGGCACGTGTCTCCGAAACTCCAAGGCAATGGGCAGCTGGCAGCTTGTCCCGGGCTGATCCCCTGAACCTGTTCCCCTGAACCTGTTCCCAAGGCCCTTCTCCTGACTTCCCAGTGAGTTAAGACAGTCCAGCCCAGGCTGTCCTGTTGCTTCTATGGGAAGCCCTTCCTTGTTTCACTGTCCGCAGCTTTAATAAATGTACCCCCAGAGTCACCTGGACTGGTGGGGTAAAGTCTTTGCTACACGAAGTCAGGAGCCCACACACATAGCTGGCCCTTGGCAGACCTGCTCAGGGCCAGGCCCCCCCCCCCCACCATCTGTTAACAGTTCAACTGTCTTCTATTTTGTTATAATGTTCAATACTGTGTTGTAAAGGTGATACGTGGAAGGGACAGGAGTTTACAAATTGGTCCCTAGGGACTTTCCAGCCAGTGTGAAGTGACAGGCATCTCTGAAGATAACAAGTTCAAAAGCTGAGAAAACTTTGGCACAAGAAAGGGAACTGTGAGCGAGGGCACTCACTGGGCAGTGAGTGGGCTGGCCCCGCTGGGCTGACACGGCTCATGTGTGAGGAGACCAGAAGTCCTGAGCCCCAGGCTGGACTTGGGCATGCTCTCCTGGGGCTCCGTGTGCAGCATCCATCTAACCAGAACCTTGGGGATGGTCTGGGAGGCCCCTGGAACGAGCGGTGGTTGCTCTGGGCAGCGTGCAGGCCTGGACCTGGGAAGGACTCCACTGAGCATGGCCCCTGAGCTGTGAGCGGGCCCTGGTATCCCCTGAGGAAGAAGAGGCTTTGGAGGTGAAGCAGTTCAAGAAAAGCCCAAAGAGACATGACAGAGAAAGGGCATCAGATCTGAAGGAGCAGTTCCCCGGACACTTGGTCCTTTCTCAGGAAGGGCCAGGCTCAGCAAAGCAAACGAACCCTTCCTCCTCCCAAGAGCAAGTAATAAAATTCTTTACTGCCCACCTCCCTCCCAGAGCAAGCAAATTACAAGGTCAAGAAAAAAATATTAAAAAACTACAAGCTTGTGGGGGCCCCATCACAGTCACATAACTGACGTGGCACATTGAAAAGACGATTGCTGGTTTCTTTCTTCTTAAGCTTGGCTTTTGCTGACAATTTTATATTAGGTGTCTTATCTCTGAGTCTGTATTTACCTTGCTAAAAGATCATTATGCCCAGAAAATGTTCTATTTTATTGGCATTACTTCTTAAGTAACTGTTAACACCATTTTTATGAGTGGACATAACTCATAGACCTGCAGCTTTTGTTGAAATGCTCTCTCTTTTCTCCTTCCTGAGCTTGTCAATCTTTAACTAAATGTCTGTCTAGGACTGATGAAATGGCGCCATTTGGATGCCATTTGTTCAGCCACAGGGACTGTCATCCTTAGGGACTGAGTGTCACAGATTTAGGGTAAAAGTTAAGTAACTGAAGTGTTGTAGAGGGAAAACCTCACAGGCAGATCCCTCCAAAGACACCCTGCATGCAAAGTTGAGACTTTAGGAGAGCAATATTGAAGGAAAGTAATGACTAGACTAATAACTTACACATGTGATTAAAACACTTGATGTTCTGAAGTAGGGAGCTTTCCTCGAGGATGTGTCTGAATATAATGTGCTACAGGCTCCCCCCGAGTGTCCTCAAGCCTGCCTGCTCCCTCTGTGCTGCCATAAAAGGGCAGAATGGGACCCAACATGTCACCTCACCTCTGTAGCTCTGCAGAGGTCCTTTCACCCAGAGGCTTCCAAGTGTTGTCACACGTGTGAAGTAACCAGCCTCCTCATCATTTCTCTCCCCAGAGATGGTCCCTTCCGGTAGCACAGACATTTACCTACACGGCTACTCAGGGTCCCCTGAGAGGTCCTTGTGGAACGTGCAAACGGATGTTCCAAGTGTGAAAGTACCTTGTAGCCTCACTGCGGATCCCAACTCGTTGCCTCCTTTGGCAAGTACCTCTGGAGGGATGAATCAGCTTCTTTAATCTCTACGGCAAGGCCCCTACCAGATGGCTTTTCCTCAGGCTCACCAAGTGCCCACATACCTGGAAACCCACTTTGAGCCTTTCTCCTTCCTGTCTTATCTGTCCCAGAAGCTGAGTGAGGACAGACCTGCATTTTTAAAGATACTCTATGACTCACTTTCATTAAATAAAGAGTTGGCCATATTTTCTTTTGTTCCCCCAAACTCTCCTATTAATCCAGTGACGAAATGTTTATTATACATTTACTTCATTGCCACTCACTGTGCTGGACACAGGGACCACTGTAGTCATGCCTTTCCCCTCATGGGAAGGACAGACAGTGACAGGAATCAGGCGCCCTGTGGTCAGGGCTGTGAAGATGACAAACGTGATGGGCTGGGGGAGGTGGTAGGAGCAGTGGGTCAGGGAAGCCCTCTCTAAACAGGTGGTATTTGAACTGGGACCTGGAGTGTGAGAATAAGCCAGAGTTTTCATTTTTCTTTTCTTTTTTGCATCTTATAGATTGTCATTTCTAATAAAGTAAATATCAACCTTTAATATCCCACATTGTAAAAAGAACTTTTTGGGGACCCTTTTATTTTTTTTCCAGAGTGAAATTGTCATGAGACCAAAAAGTGAGAAAACCACTGTAGTTTATCCCCAGATGCCATTGGTCCACTTCCTGCTCTGACCTCAAAAGGACCCACTGCTCCTATTCAAGCTCCTGGCTGGTGGAGGTCTTTGTCCTCCATTCCCCCTTCAGAGTCCAGGAAGCTGACTGAGGTGACCTGTTGGATGTGGACAAACTTCCTCCCTTTCTTGGTTTTTTTTTTTTTTTTCATTTCTTTTCTTTTGTTTTTTTTTTTCATTTTCAGTTTTCTTTTTTCTTTTCTCTGTTCTTTTTATTTTGTTTTGCTTTTTCTTCTAATTTTTTCCATTTGTTTTCTTTTCTCATTTTATTTCATTTTTTTACATTTTAATTTATATATCTTGTTTAAAATTTATTTGTTTTTATATATTATATATTATTTATATATTTATATTATTTATATATCTTATATATTATTTATATATTTATTTTATAAT